AGGACAAACCCAACACTCATAATAAGACAGAAGCACATCAGAGGGACAAAGCCATGTGAAGTCTGCCATTAGTAGATTACTAGATCGTATTCACCAGGAAAATAAGGTATTGATCAAGATTTGATCGTTACCAAACGTTCAAGTTTATCTTTTGGTTGTTCTAAAGCTAATTTGTTGGTTGCTTAAATGTTTTTTATTAGGGTAATGATAGGTTTATCCTAATTATCTACACACTCCATTACACCCTTCAATTTTCATTATTTTCTGTTAATTACACTTAACTCTGTTATCATCCTCTACATCCATTATCTTCTTCCTCTTTCTTTCTTCTTCTTCTTTTTTTTTTTTTTTTTCTCTCTCTCTCTCCTCCATCATCCTCCTCTAAGAGAACCCAGGTCTAGGTTCTTCAGGAGAACCCAGATCCCTCTTCCTCCTTTCTTTTTTCTTCTTCTTTTCCTCTCCTCCCCTCTTCTTCCTTCTCTTCCCCCCTCCTTGATCTGTTGAGGAGAACCCATATTGGGTTCTTAAGGAGAACCTGATCTAGGTTCTCCTTGGAGCTCTCCTGGAGAACTGATCTTGGGTCTCCAACATAACCTAGAGCTGGGTTTTGCTGGAGAACCCAGAGGAGAACTTGATCTGGGTTCTCCAGATGGAGAGAGAAAAAAAAAGGAAGAAGGAAAAACATGAGAGCGTGAGGCTAGGGAGCGGGAAGATCACGACCATTTAATGGCCAAGGTGGCAGAAGAGGAAGGGAAGGATCCACAGCTGCAACGGCAGGATCCAGAGCAACTTGCTGCTGGAGCGATAGTGGCTATTGTTGAGGTATTGTTTTGAATAATGAAGATTGTTGCTGCTATTGCAACTGCATTGGTGGCTTATGGAGTAAGGAAAGCAGGAACTCGCCACCGTGATATTGGCTTCCTTAGAAGCCGGCGAACCCAAATCGAGTTCCTACAGCCCAAATAGTAAGGAGAAAGAGAAAGAAAGGGTTGCGCTAGTGTCTTCAAAGTTAACAGATTAAATAACGAAGTTAATAGATTAAGTAACGGAGTGAGAATGTGTAACGGAGGGTGAAGGATTGCGATGTGTGCCAATCATTGTCCTTTTGATTAATGGTGCTTAAAATGTTGAACAAATCCATATGCAGGCGCTGCAGTGGATGGTGTTGTTTCTCCAACATTTTTCTTCATCTCCATGTTATTTATTATTGTATTTCAATTACAAAATTAATAAAAAGTAATAATTAGTGAACTTATAAACAAATATTAATAAAAAAAGGACAATAATATATACACTTTACACAGTTACACAATCCGTTACATACTGACGGAAACATGTAGTTTTAACCACACAAGTAACAAAAACTGTTAGTTTTAATAGCATAAGTAATGGAAATCGTAAACTTTAATGGTACAAGTAACAGAAACTGTCAGTATGTAACAGAGTGTGTAACTTTGCAAGGTGTACTAATCATTTTTTATAAAAAAAAATATTACCAAAATAAGTGTGAAAAACTTACTTATTTTAAAATAATAATAAAATATCATTAGTATAGTAGAGATATACATAACATTTGTAATAACATTCCATGAATTTATGCTACCCACGAAGTTACCTAACTCAAGATATATACCTTCTTTGTCTTAGAATATCTAGAAAATAGAATAAGGTAAGAAGGTAGAAGAATGTGGAGAAACTCATCCTATTTGAGTAAAATGACAACATTCTATTTATAGAACTTATGATTATGTAACTCGTATTTGTCAGTTAATGATATATCCTTAAGTAGGGCAATTAATCTATAACATCTAGTTTGACTAAGTCTTTAATAAAATAATAAATTTAATTTATAAAATATATTATTTTATTTTTATTAAAATATTTAAGTT